ATATCAGGATTTCCCGCCCGCCCGATTCCATTAGCGAGGGAGGGAGGGAACCATACGTTTACCTACTCCGTACAATTCTGTTCGGTTAGTACTGCCTGCATGCATGCATGCGTGCCATACATATTACCTCCTGATGCCTGCATCTCTTCGTAATCTTCTCCGAACGATCGAAGAGGTGTTGTATGTAAATCCTGCGTCGGCTTCACTTCCCGTCTACTATGCACCCAGCCGGCCAGCTGATATACGGTATACTTCAGTCCACGACTTGGTACGCAATGCCGACGCCGGGCGAACTGAACAGAAAAAAAAAATTATAAAAAGAAAAATTCTGTTCAGTATCTAACCCAAAAAAGCACAACGAGGATAGATCGGAAAAGAAGAGAAAAGAGAATGTGTGTGTGTGAAGTGGAAATGAGAGAGCATAAAATAAGGCGTGCATATATTCAGCTATGCAAAAAGCCCTATTCGATCTTGATTCTTGAGCAAGGCCGGTCATGCGACGATTCGAATGACGAATGCTCACCAGGAGAAGAACACCATACCACATCACCAAACTCTCCCCTTTCGATCCATAGGTAACCTGCTTCTTAATTTCCCAGCCTAACCTGCGCATGGATACTCTCCAACCATGCATTCCATTCCAGTCCCCCAACTGACGTGAGACCCGTCACTGGACTCGACTCGTAATAACAGTCGTAGTCTTGATGCCCTCGTCCCAATTGATGGCGCCGCGACTCAGTTCCCGATGGGACGGACCCGCGGCGTCTTCAGCGCTCAACAGTTGCAACTCCGTCTGGCTCTCATTCACCCGCTCCATCAACTGATGATCGCTCTCCCCTCTCCTCTTCCATTTGTTCCTCCATTTCTCGCTCTCCGACGGAGGAGCGCTTCCGGCATAAATCTCCGTCGTCACGCCGACTCTGCTCAACCCCAGCAGTGCGGCAAATTCGACGCTGAAATCCTTGCCGGAGATGGAATTGTCCCTGTTGTAGTCTGTGCCGAGATCGGGAGGGCGGAGGGTATCTTTGGCGGCGTCGGTGGACCTGTCGAAGCGCTTGGAGGCGAAGTGGAAGAGGTTTCTGGTGAACAGGGGACGGAGGGTGGCGATGTTCATGGCGGTTATGGCGATGGCGGGCTCGACCATGGACCACTTGGCCAGGTGGATGCCTTCCCAGGACAAGTCCGAGGTTTCTGTGAGGCGGGCGATGTAGTATATGCGGACAATCGTCGCTGTGCTTGCACTGGGCCGTGTGAGTAAACCAACCAACCAACCCATGTGTAGGCGCGTAGGCGAGTGACTTACAAGAATCCAAGACATAGAATGAGAATAACAGAGAACTTGGTGCGGGGGTCCATCTGCATGTTCCAGACGAAGGAAATGGGCAGGATTCCGAAAGCCCAGTCGGTTATGGTAGACTAGACGGATGTGAGGGGTCAGTCATTGCCTGCTCAGGAAGGGTACGGAAGAATAATGTGACATGCCCTACAGCTACCTACCATGGCGGAGTGAATGTAGGTGACGGCAGACAAAGTATCGCTGCTCAGACAATATCCGTGGGCGTCCTCGTTGTACTTTTCCCAGAGGTAGCTGATAGGTCCACATTGGAAAATTAGGAAGAAGAAGTACATAGTGCTGAAGATCATAACCGTGGCGAGGGTAATGTAGACGGTCAGTCTCTGGTAGAGCTTGCTGGAGAGGCGGAGGAAGTAGGCTGCAATTGCGACTTTAGTGACGGTTGTGGTTACAACATAGAGCAGCTCGCACATGAAGACGATCTGCTTTGCGTAAGTACCTATAGATCAATTGGAATTCTTCAAACTCTGACCCTCGTTCCCGTTTCTAGCGACTCCTGGGTAACGGCCTTCATGTGCGCACCTAGTCCGTACACAGTCGCTCGCAAACACAGGGAGCAGAAGATGGTGAAGATAGCCTGGATGCGTCAGCGGTGGGGAAAAAAAAATCCCATTGTTTACAAAATCTTCCGTACCATGGCAGCCACCGTCAACCAATCTTCTCGTCCCACGAACTTCAGTATCCCTAACCGCACGTAGATTCGCAGGGTAAAGGAGATCCAGGTCAGACACAGAGAGCAGACGGCCACACCCGTAACCTGAGCAGTATCGTCAGCGTGGATCGTTCCCAAGCAAAGAGACAGACCTGGGCGCCCCGAGTTGCCCCATCGTAGTTCTGCGACCTCATCACAATGCTCGGATCGATCGCATCCGCCATCTCCACGACCTAATAGCCTAATAGCCTATAGTCCAATCTTGACATGTAACAATTTGACGTTGTAGGAAGCCGGAATGCGAGCGCTGATGGAGGAAAACAAAGGTGGCTTCATGTCAAACCCGTGCTAGGCTTGGGCCGATGCAAGTCAACGAGAGGAAGAGGGTTCGAAGAGGAAATGATGGTATGCAGAAAATTCATAGGTACATGGACTCGCCATGAAGATTTTCGATGGTACAGGAACAGAGCGCGGCTGCTGTCCCGTATTCTCTCCAACGGAGAAAGCGCTATCCATAGTCACTCAACATCTCTGCGCCTGCGCATTGCAGACCATCCAAGCCCGGGCATGCATCGGTTGACACATATCAAGGGAAT